TCCTGCTTACTACCCATGCTCCTAGCACTGGTGTACATGCACCTCAACTCCTTCCCACCGTTTCCTTTCCTTGGAGTTCCCAGTCTCCTCCTTCCTCCCATCCTCCCTGATACCTGGCCCCTCTCTGTAGGAGTCCTGTCAGTCCCTGCAGTATCTCTAAAACCCTGCTCCCAGAGCCCTGATCCTCCCCCCACACTTGTCCAGTGCAGACATGTTACTGGGGGGACTGAACTCCCTCCCGGCTCAGTTTAAAGTCTTCTGGATGAAGCTCGCTAGAGCATCTCCAAAGGACCTTTGCCCCATCCTCGTGAGGTGTAACCCGTCCCTTGCCAGAAGTCTATTGGCAAGAAAACGAGTGCCGTGGTCGAGGAACCCGAAGCGTTCCTTCTGGCTCCACACCCTAAGCCAGTCGTTCACCTCAGAGGCCCTCCTGTCCCTTCCTGGCCCAAATCCCCAGACAGGTAAGATTGACGAGAAGGCCACTTGGGCCTTTAGTTCCCTGAGTTTCTTCCCCAAGACCTCAAAGTCCCTGGTGATCCTGACCACACCCTGTCTGGCCACGTCGTTTGTGCCCACATTTATCACCAGGAGCAGCCGGTGGCCCCCGGAGCGAACAAGACGCTCCACTCTGTCCTTCACTTGCCGGATGTGTGCACCCTGCAGGCAGCAAACCTCCCTTGTCTCCAGGTTGGGGCGGAACACCGCCGCCTCAGTGCCCCTCAGCAGGGAGTCCCCAACAACAATCACCCACCGCCGTACCTTCCCGGTGCTGGTGGGCAGCCGTGCCCTGGCCCTTGCCTCTCCTGCAGCAGCGCCCTTGCTGCTTGTCGTTCCAGGCTGAGGGTCCTGCTGGTCCCCCGAGGCCTCATCAGCCCCAGGCTCCCCAAGTGGAGAGAACCTGTTTCCCAGCTCCAGATTGGTGCCATTAGAAGGAGACTGTGCTGGCCTCCTCCTCCTGTGGGTGACATACCTCCATGTCTCCACAGCTGCTCCTCCTGTGGCCTCTCCCTCACCCCTCTGTCCAGAGGGGGGCTGCTCCCAGGGGGCCTGGAGAGCTCTCTCGGCCCTCAGGCACCTCACCTCCTCCTCCTCTAGCAGGGTCACCAGCTTGCATCGAGGGCAAGTGTATCCCTGCCTCTCCTGGGGGAGAAGGGCGAACATGTCGCAGCTCTCGCAGCGGACAGCAACCCCCATGACTCCCGTCAAGGCCATCTCCTGGTCTGCCATTGGGATCCCTTCCAAGACCTTACCTTGGTCCCCTGTCTTGTTTGTCCTGCAGTTCCTCTCACTCGCCCAGTTCTCCCAGACAAAAACCCACTCGAACACACACACAAGGATAAAATAAACTTAAATTTATAAAATAAACTTAAATTGGAGGAAAAACAAAGCAAAGAACAGCACAGCACCAAAGGAAGGAAGGAAGGAAGGACAGAAAACAAAGGGGAAAAAAACCCATGTGTCCCAGGGAAGGGAGTCCCCAGACACTGATAATGAAATTACTCAGCTGCAAACGGTCTGGTCCTTCGGAATGCCTCCAGAAGATGGCCCTTTCACTTTACTTGCTTCCAATAAACAACTATCCCCAAAGACTGGAAAAGGTAGCAAAAGGTAGATACTCAAAAGGTAGCATGTCAAAAAGTTACGACATCCTTTTCTAGTATTCCTCCAAAACTTTCAGAAAGTTGATCTTTCTTTCCTGGTATCCTTGTTGAGAGTTGCCTAAAAACGTCAGTGTTATGAAAGAGCTCTGTGTCTATTGAGTTTACAGCAATGATCCTCTGAAAATAATAATCTCACCTCATGCACTATTTAAATGCCTCCTATACAACTACATGTGACTTACTTTCTGTTCACAATGGCCCAATCTTCTGTGTAACTTCTCACACAATCCCTCACATGGGGGTCCATTTCACTATAGGTAAAAAGAAAAGATCTTTATGATCTGCTCAAACCACAAAAAATCAGCACTTGCTTATTTAAACTGTTGGTTAATATTACATTAACAAATAGAAACTGGCACACTGAAAGTGTACATGATGTTCCTGGATGTTACTAGGCAGTACAGATTCACCCCCACCCTGCTTAAGACTTGCTTAACGGTGGCAAAGAAGAAATCTCAAAGCCTTCTGTCCTACTGCTTGCATGTTAACAATCTAAGTGACTGTCCATGAGATTGCTGGACTTAACAAAGCATTATTTGAACAACACAAGCAATGCTGTGGTTTGGGCCTTTCCCATATAATCCTGGTAATGTCTTCAGGGATGTAATCACATAAGTGGGCTCCTGAGGTCTAGCAACACTAGGCTGAAAAGTAACTTATTCTAGTTGCTATGCCAAATTGACTGCTCAATTGACCAAACTGAGTATGTCCCTTCTTGTCTCTTTTACCAAACCTGCATCCCCTGATGCTACTTCTACCTCTGTACCACATGTTCCAACTCCCACTGATACTGCTGGTCAATCCACTCAGGGCTAGTGTCAAGGACTGACTTAGTTGGGCACTTGCCCAGGGGACACACTCTAGTGAAAGACACACTGAGGAGAGCTCCTTCATCTTGCTCCTTCATCTGCCCAGCCCTGGCCAAAACAATGTTGCTGGTGTGACGGAGTAGCAGAAAACATTGTCCAATTGCTCACTGCCTGTCAACTAGGCAAGCAAGCTCATGGTGACACTAATGAAGCAGCAGAAGCAGCTAATAACAGTGCTGGTTAGCAGGTAGACACATCATGGGCGTTTCTTGCCCAAATGCCCTCCAAAACCTAGTACCAATACTGAATTCGTTCTTTCCCCTGCTTTTCAGCTCAGCCCAGAATTTCAAGAGTGTTCTTCTTATAGGGCTCTTCCTACAGTCACACTACTCTTCCTACAGCCTACAGCCACCACTACCATCTCTTTCTCTCTCCCAAACTCAGCTTGCACCTTCCAAAAGCCTCCTGGTCCCAGCGCATCACTATGAGTGAAGATGCAAAAGAAGGGTAAGGAAATGAGGTCCAATTCTGTCAACACCTTCAGTTGGGCATTCTGCTTTGATGCTCAGATTTGTTTATGTGAGACCAATGGTCTGTTTTTCACCTCTTACCTCTCTTCAGGTACAGAAGTCACAAGTGTCCTACATTCTCGAGGACTGTAGATAACTTCAATATCATCAGAAGGGAATTCAAGTAAGTCTCTCAAATGACCAGGCTCCACTGCCAGTGGATGTGTTAGAAGGTAATCTTCCAAATCAACTGGATCCACAGGCTCAGTAAGAGGCACCTATTTAAAAAGAAAAAAATATATACATTTTAAAAATGAAATTATGTCCCCAGAACACATGCACTGCACAATAGATCTGTCCTGGCAGTTAACATAACAATTGGGAATGTGCCACACTGGAAAACGCATTCTGTTTAAGTTTAATGGATCTTTGACACATTTCTAATCCAACAGTCAAATGCAGTCTGAACTGGGGTTTTGTTTTCAGCTTCTATTGGTGAAATTGCTTGAAATATTTGTGTGAATTTGGAGTCAAGAATTGTGTATCTCTAAAACAATTTATGCAAATTGTGTAAAATTTGCACAACTCAAGCCTGATTCATCAGACCTGAATTCTCGTTTTTGTCATAGCACTTTATATGAGACATTTGAAAGTATCGTCACTGCATATGCACACACTCTACCTTGCCCCAGCTGACAGTTAATTTCAGATTTGTGCAAAATTTAGGCCTCTGTGACACAATTTGGATAGATATGTGCAAATTACAGAGCAGGAGCTTGAATTTTGTGCAATGTTTGCTGACAGTATTTTTAAATTACGCACATTGTGGACAGTTTGAAAAATAGAGTTCCACATTCTAGGTTGATCGGTATCTGATCAAATCAGTGCCAGGGAAGAATGCACAGGATAGAATATGCTGGGGCAAACTGAGAAAATAAGTTGGCCTTTATCTCTCTATCAAATTCTTTACACATTCCTAGCAGTAATGCATACAAGCACCAATTGCATTTGATGTTAATGTTTCCAGACCAAAATCAGAAAGGATTCACAATAAAGGCATATTCAAATAGTTACCACTATGTTACATCTCTGGAGGTGGGGGAGAGAGCAAGTTACTAATCTAGCTCACAAAAATCCTAACCCTCTCAAAACAGCCAGCCTTGTAGACTGTCCAGCCTTTGCCTGCCTCAATAAGCATTTCCTCATTTATTTATTTATTTAAAACTTTTGTAGACCATCCCATTACCGAAGTCCCAGGACAGTTTAAGAATACAAAATGTAAAAAATAAAAATAAAAACACAGCATCCTAAAATTTAACTAATATTAAAACCCCAATTAAAACAGCCAGGTCTTAAAACATAGGGAAAATAAAAAGGTTTTGGTCTGGTGCCAAAAAGAATAAAGTGATGGTGCCAGGAGAACCTTTCTGGGAGCGAGTTCCTCATGGCATACAGACAAGAAAATCAGGCATCCGCCCGGCTAAATTAAAATCCCAGACCCTGTTTTGAAGGCACATGATGCAACAACCTTGTCTGGTCTGTGCCTGGATGGGAAGCCCCCTGAGAATCTTATGAGAGCTCACTCAAATTCCATCAAGCAGGATATACATGGAAGAAATACAGTGAAAATCAACATTGCTGTACACACACACATTGCAAGAATAAATAATGCTGACTTAACACTTATGGCAACCCAAGAGCTCTTAACACTAACAAACTCAGAGCAGCCATTCCCCATCTAGATAGGAACAGCTATGTTTCCAAGGCGGGTGGGAATTGTAGACCAACACATATGCAGGGCACTGGATTGAGGAAGACTGCCATGAAGATAGCACACTGGGTATACTGGCCATAGGTTGAGGCTTTGGTATGTTCCCAGAACTTGTTAAGCAGTGTTGATTCTTTACTGGCGCTAGTTTTACTCTGTTGTCCCTTTTTTCTTGTTTTAACGTTTTCTTTTGGCTTTACTGTCTGAGCAGACCTGAAAAGATGTTTAGTGAAGAGTGGCATTGGCATGAATTAAACAAACAAGCAATCACCACCCATAATGCTTAGCATTCACAGGCTCTGGTTCTGACCTGAATGTTGTGCTATGCTCAAAAACAAAGTCTATGACGTTTCAATGGAAGGACAGTATTTCCCATAAAAGAGCAACATTCAGGTTGTTTTCATCTTTCATTTTCTTGAACCACAAAGCAACGCTACACTAATCCCTTTTCTAACACACTCACATGCTTTATGCCATGAGGCATGGTCCTTCTCCTAAGTAAATATGCTGCTTCAGAGTTCCTGTTAACAATGCTTTATTGTTGCATGTCCTTATCGTCAAACATCTCCGAGTTCATCCAGAGTAACTCAAGTGTTAAGCCCTCTCTGAACCCCTCCCTAAACTTCAACTCATTCCAGAATCTTTCTTGCATGCCTTCCCAGAAGCGAGGCACAGAGATTCCTCGCTGGCCTTCACCCCTCCTTTTGTTCTGAAAACTGAATCTCCCAGCTGTGTTGCCTCCTAGCAACTGGCAACATCTCCTCAGGGGAAGGGGCCTCTACATCTGACAGACTCCTCAACTACCCTAACCCTTGCCAGACCCCAAACCTGACTCCTGTTTTCCCATTGGCAGATTGGAGCTCTCTTCAGCTTCTGCCCTCAGCTCCACCCCTTGCTGGATTATCTCTGCACTACCAGAATGGTTGGTTGTCACCCCCACTCCCCTGGGTGATGCCTTTTGCTCCAAGACCACCTCAAGCATTCTGACCAGGCTATAAAGTAATGTTCTGCACCTATCTTAATTTGCCTTTACTCTGAATATGAATGCCTAATGAAGACACCAGACAAACGTCTCTGGGGAGGTCATTCTACAGCCCAGATGGCACCACTGAAATTGTCTTCACATAAGTTATCACATGCCTCATCTCATTCACTCATGGGCCAGTGCAGAGTGGTGATTAGAATGCTGGGCTGAGGACTGGGAGTTCTGGGTTCTAGTCCTCACTCAACTATGAAAGTCACTGAGTAACTCTTGGCCAGTCATGGACTCTCAGCCATGGACTTCATAGCATTGTTCTAAGGATAAGGTGAAGTGGCCTGTGTAATCCACCTTGGCTTCCCCACAAGAGAAAAATAAATGAGTTATAAATGCAATGTAATCATTATGTAATTTGGCAAAGGTACCTGTAAAAGTGCATGTGAGGTTGGTTTAAGGTCCAGGCAAGCATATAGAGATGAATGCAATCCTTTAGATAGCTTGGCCCCAAGCCATTTAGGGCTCTGTAAGTTAATACCAGCACTTTACATTTAGCCCAGAAACAGACTGGCAGCCAGGGCATATAATAAAGCATTGGTATAATATGATCATAATGGCCAGCCCACATTAACAACTTCATTGCTCCGTTTTGCACCAGCTGAAGTTTTTGGACCACTTTCAAAGGCAAGCCCATGTATTGCAATAATCCAGAATGTGGAATGCTGAATAGCCAGACAGGACTATTGGAGCTTCTCTTGAAGATGGTCCAGAAACTTCAACTGGTTCAAAATAGGGCTGCTGATGAGGACTGGCAGATATGAACATACAAAACTAGCCTTCTACCATCTTCACTGGTTACCAGCATAAGTCTGGCTTCAATTCAAGGTGTTAACACTTGCATTAAAGCCCTAAACAGCTTGAGGCCAGGGTATTTAAAGGAGAGCCTCTTCCCACATGTACCTACCCAGTCTCTTAGGTCATCATCAGAGGAGCCCCTCCTCAGGAAATAAGGAGAGTAGCTACAAGAAGAAAAGCCTTTTTGGCACTTTGGAATCAGCTCCCCAGAAAGGTTCACCTGGTGCCGTCTTCGTATTTTTCAGAGCCAGACAAAGACCTTTCCAGTATTTTACCTGTTAGAATGACTGTAATGGTTTTAAAGTTTATGTCTGACTATAAACTGTGGTTATGTCTTTTATGTGAATATGGTTTCTATGCACTTTAACACTGCTGTGGTTTTGTTAGGCTGATAGATTTTAATATTGTTATACTGGTGTTTTATTGTATATCTTAATTTTATCTGATTGTGTATTTTTGTTACCCACGAAGGTCAAATAAATAAATAAATGTCCCCAAATTCAACCTTTAGCAACTCTACTTCAAAGAATCTTGGCTGCAGCACTGGCTCCAGGTTTCCCACACACACACCTGAGTGACTCATATCTGAGTATCAGAGCAGTGGTATACAGCAAAAGTATTCGCTACAGCCTTTCAAAAATTTAACCAGACTTAACCAGAAGGCAACCTATAGCATTCTGGAGGGCTACAAGTTGCCCACCAATTGAATATACAAGAAATATTATTGTATTAGAACTAGATAATCAACTACATAACAACAAAAGAAATGTGAGACTTTAAAATATGTATACATTGATGCTGTAGAGTTGCACTTTCTTTAAATACTCAACTGTTCATTGGAAAGAAGAAAAATAACAGTTTTCCCAAATTCAGACTAGCTGCCTCTTCCAATGCACTGTCCTCCTTCACAAAATGAAATGAAAATTGTCATCAACCAGTAGGTGGCCTTTGGCCAGTGCATTTATGGTTTTTACATTTCTACTGAACTCTTCTTCCAAGAAAGCTCAAGCTGACACCTACAAGGTTATACCATTTTAGAGTGAATGGTTACAACAAGGCAGGCTGAGAAACAGGCCTGCAACACTCCTCGTACTATGGTATATAGCTTATTTATTTATTTCTAGACTATATTAGTCACCCTGTAGCTAATAGCACTCAGGATAAGCCATTTGGTGATAGATGGCAAAATATGACCCAGTGACCTTCCGGGGCAAATGCACATATTCAGCTGTTCTGCAGCCTCTAAATTCAGTCTTAGGTTTTTCTACCTATATGGGGAAGGGGACTGAATCAGAGGCTAGAAAAATGCAAGGCAAGAAAGCCAACATGCTGAGAAAATCTTTTTTTGGGAAAGTATGACATATATACAGACAGAACAATAGGCTGTCTACTGTACATGGAAGCATGCACAAATTTGTCTACTCAATTTTTTTTTTCTGTAATGAACAGGAAATAATACTGTCAACACATCCTAGGAACTTCGCCCTATGAAATGAAGTTCCTAGCAGCAAAGGCCACCGGATCTCAGCAACTTCCAGAATGAGGTAAAGCGCCACATTTTTGTCCCTATATCTTTTCAGTTGACTGTCATAGTATGAAGATATAAACAAACATAAACGTCAAACCTAGAAGTCAACAATAGGCTCACCATCTGTGCAGACAGAAATATTGCCTACCAC